GATCCACTAACGGTGCTTTTAGGTACTTCAAGCACCGGTCACCGTTCTCGTCGAACCCGTCGCTTGCGACGAAGGGCTCGACGAGTAAATTAACTCTCAGACACAGCCCACTGAGTTTCTCGCCGGATCTTCTCAGTGGGTCGCGTTTCCGATCCGGTGGTAGATTCTGCGAAGCACGACTCTTGCTAGGGTTCGTGTTAGCAACATCGTCAGGTTTGAGCCCCGTGAGCTCATCTACTAAAGTTAGGGTTACGCTGAAATAGCCGCTAGGGCTATCAGCTTAGGTAGGAAAAAAAAAAAAAAAAAAAAAAAAGGAGTAAACTCCAAAAAAAAAATATGCATGTAGTAAAAAGCGGTTATTTCAATATTACAAACAGACACTTTATTTATATGTATAGATTAACATAGTAGCTTACCGGAATAGCTAGTAGAACTGGATCTCATACATCATGACATTGTAAAGATACCTTCAGTTATTGAAAATGTTAAATGTTTTCTAACAAATAAATAAATGATCGACAAAAAATATCTACACATAAATATGTATGCCACTCGCCGTCGGATTGAGAGTAAAACTGTACAACGAAATATAAGCTTTGTAATCCAAACATTAATTTGATATAGCCTAGGTAGAGTACAAGAAAATAGAAGTGGCAAGCAGACTGTTTCTTTGCGCTTATCTTTTTCTTCTTCTTTATTTCCTATCTATCTTAATATGTGACAATCCAATGCCACTTCCGCACAAGGATCTCCTTCTCCATTGGTGTCTACTTGGTGATCCTCAACAGATTTTTGTTAGTGATCGTCTCAGGCCAAACGATTTTATTATCATTAATTGATAAATATAAAAAAATAGCTTTTAATTGAGCTAATCGTAACTTATCAATGAACTGTGCTGTATGTTAAAAAAATAAAATTAAGTATAAAAAATAAATATGTATTAACATATCTCTAAGCATGAAAATTCCGAAGAAGAGGATTTCTTTATTATGCTCCCACAATGAGTGGCCACGAGCGTGGATACATTTTCGGCACACCTAAACTAAAATTTTTTTTTTTTTTGCTGACGGTATTTTCGTAGACCGCATGTCTGGACGATAAGCGGTGCACACATCGTGCCGTCTTCAGATCAACTTAGCGTTGTGTGCAGAAATCGTTTACTCAAAGGTCGTAGTTTACTAATAGAAACGGGAATCTACTTAACGATTGTTCATAAGCATTATCTACTGCTAAGCTTTGGCTATACTAGTCTCTAAGTGATTGTTTGTAGTGGTCACGTTTTTGTACATTGCTTCGATCTTTACTGGTGGTAGGACCTCTTGTGAGTCCGCGCGGGTAGGTACGACCATCCTACCTATTTCTACCGTGAAGCAGTAATGCGTTTCGGTTCGAAGGGTGGGGCAGCCGTTGTAACTATACTTGAGACCTTAGAACTTATATCTCAAGGTGGGTGGCGCATTTACGTCGTAGATGTCTATGGGCTCCAGTGAACACTTAACACCAGGTGGACTGTGAGCTCGTCCACCCATCTAACAATAAAAAAAAACCTGCAAGTAACAGATATAGAATAAACAGATAAAATAAATATTTTAGCATCTATGTAATTTAAATGTAAGATAAAACGATCATTAAATATTTGTAATTAAACACATGACTTACATTTATTTGGAACTCGGTGTGTGTGAATATTTTCTAGCTAAATAAGATTTTAGATAACAAATGTTAATGCACTAGCCGATGACCTCAGACAATAGTGTGAAATTATTATTTTTGAAACACTTCATATTTGTTTCTTGAGCAACAAATCTCTCGTTGAAAAATCTATTTTTAGACAACAATAGGACAATATTGTGTTATAAGGACCATTTTGAATATTTTTGTAAGATGTGTAGATGAAAAATTTCATGTTCCACCTGCAATTAATTTTAATTCTATTTATTAGCCTCGCTTGCGACGTCTTTCATGATAACTGGTTACTGGAAATCCATAGCCATCAAAACCTTTGGTGGCCCAGACACATGACCAATTTCACCAGGACAAGTGGGTGAGCATTGGTTCAGCCAGGAGGAGTGAGGTTCATTAACAGCTGCTCAAACGTCTCCGAAAGAGGCCTAACAACTAAAGGGCAATTGCTTCGGACGCTACTGCTACTACTGAATCGGAATCGCGACCCACTGTGAAGATCCGGCGAGAAACTGGGCTGATGTATGGGTTAGGTTCCGCGACGAACTACCTGACGACTTCGACGAGTAAGGTTACTAGGCTCCCTACGTCTGCTCCTTGAATTAGAGCTGTCAACGTCTAAGGACAGTGTTAGTGGATCGCATGTATCCGTCAGGACGTGTCTAAGGTTGCGACAGTGACTAGATCCTGCTTGACCCGGACTGACATGAGGTGTAAATCTAAATAATATTTTAAAAAATCGTGCGCTTGCAACTTTGAGCATGGGATAGAAGTGAAACTTCTTTTGCGATGTGTAGTACTGTGGTTTTCTTCATTTTTTCATCCTTAAATCAAACTTCTCTTGTAATAGGGAATGCTGTGTATAATAGAAACGATCTAGCTCGCTTTGTCCTTTCCCTCTCTCCACGGTCGAGTAGTTCGCGAGACGCTGCGCCTATTTTCTCACTCTCGCTCGTCCTAAATTGTATCTTTTCTCTCTAGCCGTAACGAATCTGTCGCGAGTTAAATTTTACTCTCAACGCGCCTAAAGAAGTTTCACTTCAAAAAGAAGTATTTCATCGATGATTTGTTATGCAACATAACCATATTGTATCTGCAAATATTAATGTCCCATAGGTAACTTTTATATTCATTTATTGTAATTCCTCGTCATCCGTATTCAAGGAACCCTAAGCGTTCGACAAACAGCAGACTTCACATTGATAAATGGAAAATTTAAAAATCATCTCGGTTCCCAGTCAGACGTTCATTCAGACAGTACAAATCTAATAATGTCTCAATACGAAGTAAAAATCCACCGAGACGTGGAAATTATTGGTTAATATTGCGAGGAGTCGTTTCTCTGAGGTTTTTTTCTCGTTTCAGCGTTTGATGTTTTGATTTTCCGCAGTACTTCAAGTCTACATTACCTATAGTTCGACATGTTATTCTATAAATTGACAGATTTGGACAAATACTCTCAACAGTATTGGCTCTGCAGTTGCAAGACACCGACTTCTTTCAAATATTCACATTAAATATTTTTTACTCAAGTCACTTCTGTTCATAATTATGTCTAGATAATAGGAGACTACATTTTTTTGTCTTATAGGAGTCCTCGTGGCCTTATAGATAAGACGCCCGGTATACTATCAAGTGATGCGATTATACCGGGCTTTAAGTCCGATAACCATATACAAAATTTTCTAAGCACACGTTTACGAATTAATTCCACGATAAAAAATATAGTTTACATAATTATTATTTTTATTGCCCTTGTAGGCAGCTGAGCATACGGCCCATCTGATGGTGAGTGGTTACCGTGACCCATGGACTTCCGTCAGCAATACCAGGGGCAGAGCCAAGCCGCTGCCGACCGTTACGTACTCTCCACAAGCCTCGTTTGAAGAAGGACATGCCATAGCGCTCGGGAAACACCGTGGAAGGGAGTTCATTCCAAAGCCAGATAGTACGTGGCAAAAAAGTTCTCTGGAAACGCACTGTGGATGAACGCAGTAGCCCCAGGTAGTATGGATGAACTCTACTCCGCTGGCAAGCGGTGCGATGGTAAAAACGAGATGATTGTACCATCTCAAATAATTGCTCAGAACACTTCCCATGGCGCATTCGGTACAAAATACCAAGAGAACCAAAGTCCCTCCGCAGACACAGAGGTTCCAAATACTTCATGAGAATGGGATTATCGATAATCCAAACGTCCCTCTTCTGTATGGAGTCAATGGAACTGGTATTTGGGAGCCCCGGCCCAGAAATGGGAGCAGTACTCCTCGCGAGGCCCGACTTGTGCTATATAAAGCAAAAGTCTTTAATTATAAGTAATTACTATATTATAGACAGAAAACAATGAACTATAAACTGATATTTATCCGGTGGTATTAATCTATGAACTGATATCAACGAACCCTAGCTAATACCTATGCCGTCAATGATTCAAAAACAAAACACGAGAATGAATTTACATAATTATCGCCCTTAGCATTACGTTACAAAACCTAAATTACTATAACATGTCGCAAAACACATTAAAAACGGCGACATAATGACGCCGACACATCTCACGATTTCCATTATACACAAAAATTCATACAATACCTTTAGTCTTTGTTACGTGCGACTTAGAGGCGAAAATTTCACGTGAAAAATAAATTCGAGCTGTGTAACCTCATTTGAGTTAAATTACCGTAGACGATTGCGGTTTTGTCTCGAAGACTTATTCTGAAAATGTTATGTTCACGCTGTGAGTATGGTTGGGTAGATAGAAAATTATTATAAAAAAGATGTGTGGTGTCGTGGGACACCGGATAGAAAAGAAGTTCCCTAGTATAAAAATAATAATTTTAAGTTCTATTCGAGGTATAAAGAAAAGAATTATTAGGATATACATTTTTTATTATGATGTGGCGGGTAGCCATCATATAACACAAGATATTTGATAGATGCCTGAATCTCGCTTACGACATTTTCAAGATAAAAGGCATATATACAAGTTCCGAACAACAACATTCGGACCGTCGGTCTACCGAGCAAATATCACCCGCTCGGTGGAAGATCTTCTCACTGTCGTTAAGCTTCCCCAAAATGATTTTTTTATTGATAAAAATAAAAATAATCGCAAGGGTCCACCACTCCGCAGTGCAATGGAGCAGCCTCGCCCTGGGGGAACCGCCTGCATAATCATGGTATCCCCTACGCCAGGTAAGAGTGATTTAGTAAGAAAAATACGAGAACGTCTATCAACTGTGTAACACCTCGTCACTGCGATTTAGGAATTGTTGAATTTACGTGCAGCGACATTTGTTGATAACAAACTAAATAGAGAAAATCTTACGTTACGGACGTTTTTTCCCGGTAAGGGTACCTCTCCGCATCGTCCCATAAGGAACTTCGTTCCAAAAAAACTTTAACAGATTTAATAGCAAAATTACGCATAGCTAAGTCATTTTTCAACTATTGCGTATTTATAGACTAGTTTGGACTAGACTGGACCTGGACTGAAGCAGTAAGACGAAAGGTAGTCAGTGTTCTTTGTCAGTATTCTTGTCCCCAGATCTCTTGTCACAAGGTGAACTGCTGCATTCGCGTTGTTATATCTATGGAGTCTGCCGTCTAATTAACATAGGCGGCTAGCTTTGTCACTGTGAATGAACTCAGCCGTGGTGGAAGATCATAAAAACAGAAAACGAAATCATTTTCACAATTACTAAGATCTCATCAAGAAAAGTGGAGGAAGATCATCACCGAATGGTACCGTAGAGACGGTCAAAGGAATAGAGGAAGGCAAGGTATGTTATGGGAGGATGAGAAAAAGTTGACAGCCGATGCTAACTGGAGGAGGGTTGTTAGAGATAGACAAAAATGAAAGATGTTAGTGGGTGCCTATGCCTATAAGCCCACTAAACTGAGTGACATCGTCTATACTAATATCATAAAGATGAAAGATTTGTTTGTTTGTTTGTTTCGAATAGGCTCCGAAACTACTGGACCGATTTGAAAAATTCTTTTTCCATTAGAAGCCGACATTGTCCCTGATGAACATAGGCTACTTTTTTTTATTATTTTTTTTATTTTTTTTTTTGTTTCATGTGTGTTTTAATGTTTCCGAAGCGAAGCGAGGGCGGGTCGCTAGTGTTAAATACAAAAAATAAATCAACAGTCCTTAAAGTTCAAGATAAAGGGCTCATTGATTGATTGAAGATAACATAAGGTCCAAACATCGCGAACATCGATCTCCTCTAACCGTTCGAGTTTTTTTTTTTTTTCCACATGAGAAAATCGCCGGATCCCCACCCGCGCGGCAGGTGGGGCATGTGGGAGTTGAACCTCACTAAAAACTCCTGCCGCTCACAACCGGCGCCCTAGCTCGGACCGGGCCGGAGCCCAGTCGGGGCTATTGAGACGGCGGGACAGGGTTTGTATGATTTCAGTGATTAGATACTTCATTAGATCTATTCATGTAGTGATATCTTCGAAATTCCACAGCAAGCCTTGAGGTTTTAATCACAACGAAGCCTACCGCTGCGACCTCATGTCTAAAGGTGAGTATGGGTATTTACAAAGTGGCGCAAGGCCGCCGCTTTGTCTTTCAAAGGAAGGCAATATAATAAAACCTCACCTGTTAGCTTCACTATTAACACTTTGAACGCTACGAAGCTATTCTAGAAGGAACAGTACCAAAATAACTCAAGACGTTCTAAAGTGTTTTATAATGTTATATTAATGAAGATACATTGTCTACGTTTTCACATAAATTAAGAGCGCGAATGTCAGTTAAATCCGTTTCTGTCAAATCATCAAGATATACAAAAAGATTCAGTGTGACGAAATTGTTAATATAGAATTTGTATGTTGTAGAGACTATTGTTCTAAAAGAATTTTAATAAATGTTACTATCAAGTTGAAATTAGCACTATCGTTTTATGCCTCGGAAATCCTGGCAAATAAAAAATAAATTAAAAAATTTATTTCAGTGCCATCTGTTGCAATTTGTACGAACTATTTCAAATACATTCGTAAACTTGGTTTGTTGGCTTCTCATGTTAATTAAGTTTCAATATTTGCTAGTAGATGACGCTAAAAACTTGAATTTGTTTTTTTTTCAATTATTTTTTATAACGGTAGTTGCTAAAAGTAATAAATTATTATAATTATTATTGTTACATTACATTTAATTTTCATCATCCCAATTATTGATACGCATTTTAAAAGCTTGACAACGTCGTTAATAACGTAGACTACGTAGCTTGTAATGTTTTACGTTTTTTCCTTACCAGACCGCTAGCAGCTTCGAGGGTCTATTCTCCAGATTCAGTGTGCTGGTCGACGGGGCTACGATTGAAAGAGTTTACTAGCACTTGCCCTAACAAGAGCAATGCGTCGCTGATTCTATCATTGGATCGGAAACGCGATTCACTAGAAGATTACGTGCGAAACTCAGCGGTTTGTGTGGCATGCGTTATGTTGCGGGGCAATGTCTTCTTCGCATTCTCGAATGCTCGACGACAATGGGGCTTGGAATGCCTAAATGCCCCGAAAGTGGATCGGGGCTTTTGACATCCCATTACTTACATTACTTGTGGTAGGACCTCTTGAGTCCGCACGGGTAGGTACCGCCAGCCCACCTATTTCTGCCGTGCAGCAGTAATGCGTTTCGGTTTGAAGGGTGGGGCAGCCGTTGTAACTATACTGAGACATTAGAACTTATATCTCAAGGTGGGTGGCGCATTTACATTGTAGATGTCTATGGGCTCCAATAACCACTTAAGGTTGTGAGCTCGTCCAACCATCTAAGCAATAAATGAAAAAAATGCTTAGGCCGACGGCGCCTGTGTCTTATACAGTCGTCTGAATCGGGTATGTAATTCACGCCATATGAGGCTTATCGTACCGATTCGCCTTCTTAAAAAAAATTATAATATCAACGTTTTGATTTAAAAATAAAAAAATGATGTTTTCGTTTTAATCAATTGACTTTGGCTCTATTATAAACAACAATATAATCAACGGATCAATCAACAACAACAAATAGTGACTAATCCAACGAAATCATATTTTATCATGTATCGATAATATATCGATAGTTTCCAGACGATGTTGACATGTAGACAAATGACAATGCTATGTTATCTTGTACCTACATCCGTCCGATACACCGCCTACATAATCAGGGCGATTAAATAACTCGATAAAATACCCCTAGTTCGCTCACCGTCGAACATAATTTGAAGCTATCGGTCATGTCAGTTATTAGTGATGTGACCAAGGCATTTATTACGTTAAAAAAAAAACTCGAGAAATTTTGCGTATATACGAATTTAAAAGAGAAGATTTCTAAACAAAAACAATGATGGACAGAAGGAAGATAAACCGTTTTTTTTATGTTTTTTTTTTTTATAGCTTATGCGGATGGACGAGCTCACAGCCCACCTGGTGTTAAGTGGTTACTGGAGCCAATATACATTTACAACGTAAATGCGCCAACCACCTTGAGATATAAGTTCTAAGGTTCAGTATAGTTACAACGGCTGCTCCACCCTTCAAGCCGAAACGCATTACTGCTTCACGGCAGAAATAGGTGGGGCGGTGGTACCTACCCGTGCGGACTCACACGAGGTCCTACCACCAGTAAACAAGAGGTCCTCCTACCACCAGTAAACAATGGCATCAATTTGATAGTATTTAATTGATATACAGGATGAAAATCGTGGAGGACAAGGTCGAGCCTTCGAAACGCCAGCGTTAATGAAACCGGCTTGCTTCGATAAAGTTTGGATAACCGGGTCTTGACCGACTCAATGGCACGGTAATTAGCGCTGCTGACAGCTAAGCCGAGGGTCATAACTTCGATTCCCACATCGGATAATAACTTAATTTGTTCTCTATTAAAACGCTTAATAATTATGTGCAATCAAGCTCCAGATCCCACACTACGGCTAATAATTAAGCTCCCAAATCATGGAAAATAAACGATATTTTCTTTCGGAACTGCGCAATTTCGTTACAAAATCCATATGCGATAACAAACCTTTCATGGTAATGGACTACTGTTCTCTTATCTCGAGTACGACGGGAAATGTCGACAACTCACTCGTTTAGTCGTGCCCATGGACTCAACTATGGTGTTTATGGAAATGTACTAAGCATGGATATCGAAATTGACTATGAAGAAGCGGAAAGCAGATTTCTGTCAAACTGGAGTGGCGATTATTTGGATGATGTGAGTGAAGAATGTATTTTGTATTTTTGATAATTCGATTGTCGATGGATGTTTTGGTTGCATATGTTTTTTTCAGACAATATCTTTTGTAGCAGACGAGTATACAGCCCACCTGATGGTGAGTGGTTACCGTCGCCCATAGACGCAATACCAGGCCTAGAGTCAAACCGCTGCCTACCATTAAGTCTGTGTTTTTCCCTTTTTATTAGTATCGATGGAATTTTTTCCAGAAAACGCTGTGCTATCTGATTGAATAATGTCTTCTGTAACTTGAAAAACTGATTGTTTTGCGATTATAATTGATAAATATATATATTATTTTATTTGCCTTGAATCTTTCTAAATGCAAAAACGATTTTCAAAATTAGTTGTGCAACGATTTTGTTAAATTTGCAAGGGCGAATATGCCTTAAGTCGTCGTGGCCTAATGGATAAGACGCCCGGTGCACTCGTATCAAGCGATGCCACTGTACCAGTATTCGAATCCTGCAGGCGGATGTTTCCACGGTGAAGGAATAACAACGTGTAATTAAAAATCGAACCCGTGAAAATTATAATTTGCGTAATTACCGCTGGTAGGACAAGAGTCCGCTCGGGTAGGTATCACCACCATGTCTATTTCTGCCGTGAAGCTGTAATGCGTTTTGGTTTGAAGGGTGGGACAGTCGTTGTACTGTAAAAACTAAGGTTATAAAACTCATGTCCCAAGGTGGGTGACGGTATTTACTTTGCTGCTGTTTATGGGTTAAGAGCAAGCTGTTCCACATACTCCGCGCACCCCCTAGGGCCGGAGACCTCGTAGGAGGTACGGCCCCCGATCGTTTTTTTTTTTTTTGAGTTTACTCCTTTAGAATCGATTTACATATATAGGCCCGGGGTATGAAAATTATGGGGACCAAAATCGTACTAGCATGTCACACGAAATGCGTTATGCGCCTGCGCCGGCAGTCCGCCACAAAGCCTCGTACTGATCGCGCGTTTCTCTCATTATTGTATTTTCATATATTTGTTAGTCGTTTGTTTTGTGTCTCGTTAATTTGTTAATAATCTGTAGTGTATCGTGTTGTCGTAATATAGAACTATTTCTCGTATTGTTTCGTTTAATTTTTTATATCCAGTAAACTCCAGTCGTGCGTCGGAGCGGACAC